GTTTCAAATCCAGAATTTCACTTTTCTTTCATCAAACTGAGGATAAATATACCTTTCATTAAATCACTGTTCATTGCTGATGGATTTTCACTGCCGGATATCTTCCGGATGACCACCTTAAGGCAAAAGTTTGTGAAAAAATTACACTGGCCAGTTGACCCCTGGATGACCACCTCAAGAAGAAAAATTGTGAAAAATTTGCACTAGCCAATTGACCGGCCGAACATCTTCCCGGTCGACCAGTGGTTTGACGAAGCCGCAAAACCCTCCGTTGGAGTACTTGATATCAAATAAAGTTTTTCTTCAAATTTTTACTCAAATTTGGTGAAAATTTTGATGCACCGTTGGAGATGCCCTAGCACCTTATTATCTTCTGTATAGGGTTAAAGTTCATTTTCATACTTCATTTCCTCATATTTATTCATATTTTCGTTTGAAAACAAATTATTTTAATAATTTTGTATAACAAATTTTACAATTTTAAAATAATCATACAACAACTTTCCTTTTAGTAAAATAACAATCTAATAAATAACTCAAAATTAATGTAGATACTATGAAAACACAACAATAAATTAAATAAAATATATATTTTATTATAATATAGATGACAATGTAATTTTTATATATGGCTAAAGAATTTATGAAAATGTTAATGTATATTATATTATACTTATTTATTTGTATCTCTATCTCTATTTCTATCTCCTTATATTTCTATCTTCTTCTATACTTATCTAGGTTTCTTTTCAGCCTATATATATAGGCTTCTCCTATTGTATTCATTCATTCAATTCAATATAATACAGATACACAATTTTTCCTTTCTTTCAACCATTCTAACATGGTATCAGAGCATAGGTCTTGAATTCTAGCTCCTCTTTTCTCCTGCTTATTGCCCGTACACAGTGGCATTATAGTATCTCTCTTTTTTTTCATCAATACACCATTCTTTGTTCTAAGACACTGTTTCGTCACTGCTTCGTCATTATTTTTTGACCAAAATTTTATAAATTTTTTACCACCGTGCTCAGAATTGTTCCCTAGTTCCAATGTCACCAAGCTCATCACCACACACCTCTACATGCGCTTTCACGCGCCGCTTTTGTAGTCGGCGCGTCCAGCCTTCCACCGCCACTCTCCTGCGCGCTAACACGCGCCCTTCCTGCTACCGCGTGCGCCGTTTCTATTATTGGGCACCTACGCGTGCCATCCTGCTACCATGTACCTACATGCGCCGCTCCTGCTACTGTGTACCCGCATACACCGTTCCTGCTACCGTGCACCCTCGTATGCCGTCCTACTACCGTGCACCTGCGTGCGCCGTTCCTGCTACCGTGCACCCGTATTCACGTTCTTGCTACCGTGTACGCCTCTGTCACTATCGTTCACCGCACGCCTCTTCTACTAACGTGCGCTATGCACGCTGACGCCATCCACATGTTACTGACATCATCTTAGGCCTATTTGTCATCTACAGGTCTATTTTTTGGCTATTTTTGGGCCAACTTAGCTGCTCTCTAGCTATTTTCAACGTTCCAAATTCACTGGGACATTCTGTTTCACCCAGTTCTACTCTGACACTACTAGGCCCTCTTTGTGACTCACCCAGTTCTACTCCGACACTACTAGGCCCTCTTTGTGACTCATACTTTGATCACTTCATGGATCATTTAGATAGTTATCCTTTCTGCGGTGGATTTTTTGGCTCCTCTGTTAGTCGACATGACTCTTTGATTCAGTTTGCCTCTGCTGCTGTTGCACCTGCCTCATCTTCCACTCACACTGTTCATGATATTGAAGTTATTATGCAAAAGGTTCTTTCCACTTCTGGTACACCTTCTACTGCTATCTCAGTCACCCCAGGTACTTTTTCATGGTATTTTGATTTGGCTTGTTGCAACCATATGACCTTTGATCTTACACTGTTTTCTTTCACTACATGTCCTTCTAATTTACCTAGCATTCATACTGTTGATGGTTCTCAAATGCATGATAGTCATGCAGGTCATATTTCTACCTCTAATGTCTCTCTCCCTCACACTTATCTGATCCCTAATCTTATATCTATTGGTCAGCTCTGTGATCTTGGACTCACTATTCTATTTTCTCCAACTAGTTGTGCTGTGTAGGATCCGAAGACGGGACAAACCCTTAGGATAGGTAGTAGACATGGACGTCTATATGAGTTCATCTACCTTCGCATTCCCTCTTCCTTTCTAATGTTAAGACTGCTGCTTCTACTACTATTAGTTCCCCTCTTACTTTATGGCATTCTCGATTAGGTCATATGTCTTTTGGTCGTTTACACTATCTAGTTTTAAGTGGTCAACTAGGTGATGTTCCAAATGATAAAGTAGACTGTCTATCTTGTCAACTTGTAAAACAGCCTGCCTTGCCATTTACTACTAGTACCTCTATATCTCATGCACCTTTTGATCTCATACACTCTGATGTTTGGGGGCCATCACTTAATACCATTATGGGGGGATCTAAATACTTCGTTATATTTGTCGATGATTTCACTCGTTTTACCGGGTTATTTCTTATGAAATCTCGCTCTGAGTTACACCAAATATACTATGATTTTTCTCACGTGGTCAAAACTCAATTTTCCTCCAACATCAAAATTTTTCATGTTGATAATGCTCAGGAATACAAAAAAACTCATTTTTTGAAATTCCTTTGTCAAAATGGTACGCTTTCTCATTATTTATGTCCTGGTACCTCCCAACAAAATAGCCGTGCTAAGCACAAATATCGTCATATCCTAGACACTGTTCGTGCTCTTTTAATCTCTTCTTGTTGTCCTGAACGTTTTTAGGGAGAAATTGCTCTCACAGCAGTCTATACTATCAACTGTGTTCCTTCTTCTACTATCAACAATCAAACCCCATATGAGTGTCTGTATGGCACACCTGCTGCCTATACTGGTCTTCGTGTGTTTGGATGTGCTTGTTTTGTTCTTCTTCAACCACATGTGCTTACCAAATTAGAACCTCACGCCCGTTTCTGTTACTTATTAAGGTATGAGATTAAACATAAAGGTTATCGTTGTTGGGATCCTCTTTCTCGTCGTCTTCATGTCTCTCGTCATGTAGTATTTTGGGAACACAAAATGTTCTCCTCTACATCTAAGTTTCAATTGTCCACTCCTCTTACCACACCATTATTTACAGATCCCTCTCTTCTGTTTGATAAGCTTGATACAGACACTATTTCTGACATGATAACTCTGGGCCATCCTAAGGATTCTGCTCCGCCTCCTGGTCTTGCTGCTCCACTCTCTAATCCTAAGCCAGCTTCTATACCTGCTCCTACTCCACCTCCTAGTCCTATTATCATTCCTTCTCCTAGTGAGCCTCATACATCTCTTGATTCCACTATATCATCTTCTACACTAGAGGTACCTCTTCGTCATTCTACTCAGGTAACACAACCTTCTGTGCTTCTTCGTGATTTCATTGTTGGTTCCACTGCTTTTTCTTCTCATGAACCTATTTCCTATCGAGAGGCTTGGTCTAACCCTCTTTGGCAGCAAGCTATGAGTAATGAACTGTAGGCTTTAGATAAAACTCATACCTGGGATGTAGTTGACCTTTCACCTGGCAAGAGTGTTGTTAGTTGCAAACGGGTTTACAAGATCAAAACCCACTCTGATGGTTCCATTGAGCGTTACAAAGCTCGTCTTGTTGCTTGGGGGTGTAACACCCCAACCCTTCACATGCCATCGATATTGTTCGTTTTGGGTCACGCTCGCACGGATTTGTTCTTCCCAGTGGGTCACCCATCTCAAAACTACTTCAGCTTAAGCACGCTTAACTATGGAGTTCTATTAGGGATTTCACCACTCAGGAAAAGGCTTCGATACTATATAAGGGTCTAGCTTTTCCTTTTATAGCCTAGGAACTCTCCATCCATTCCCGATATGGGACACCGAGACCTTACAATCTACCCCATTTAGGGTTGCACGTCCATGTGCAGTAGCCTGCCAGCTCACAAGCCCGCCTACATACACCGAGAGATGCTAGGGCCCACACTCGGTACTCCGGAGAGTTGGCTCGGATACCATTTGTAATGCCTCAACCCTTTATATGTCATCGATATTGTCCGCTTTGGGCCATGCCCGCACGGATTTGTTCTTCCCGGTGGGTCACCTATCCCAGAACTACTTCAGCCTAAGCACACTTAACTAAGGAGTTCTACTAGGGATTTCATCACTCCGGAAAAGGCTTCGATACTATATAAGGGTTCAGGTTTTTACTTTTATAGCCCATAAACTCCCTCTCCATTCTCGATGTGGGATACCGGGACCTTACAATCCACCCCCTTTAGGGCTGCACGTCCCCGTGTAGTAGCTTGCCAGCTCATAAGCCCGTCCACATCCATCCCAGAACTACTTCAGCCTAAACACGCTTAACTAGGGAGTTCTGCTAGGGATTTCACCACTGGGAAAAAGGACTCGATACTATATAAAGATCCAGGTTTTTACTTTTATAGCCCGGGAACTCCCCATCCATTCCTGATGTGGGACACTAGGACCTTACAGGGGATTTACTCAAGAATATGGGATTGATTACGAGGAAACATTTGCTCATGTTGCTCATCTTACTTCAGTTTGCAACCTACTTGTCGTTGCTGCTGCTCGTCATTAGAGTCTTTGTCAAATGGATCTTAAGAACACCTTTCTCAATGGCGATCTCACTGAGGAAGTTTATATACAGTATCCTCCTAGTTCCTCCGTTCTGTCTACCAAGGTCTGTAAACTTCGCCGTGCTTTGTATGGTTTAAAACAAGCTCCCCGTGTCTGGTTTGCCAAGTTCAGTTTTACCATTAGTGACTTTGGATTCTTTTCCAATGCCTATGATTCTGCTTTGTTTATACGCAAGACAGAGCGTGGTGTTATTCTTTTTCTTCTCTATGTTGATGATATGATCATCACCATGGATGACACAATGGGTATCTCTAGTCTCAAACAGTTCCTCAGTCGCTAGTTTGAGATGAAAGATTTAGGTTTGCTTAGTTATTTTCTCGGCTTGGAAATTTCTCATGATCCTTTTGGTTACTTTCTCACCCAGGCCAAGTATACCTTTGATCTCTTGGCTCATGCTAGTCTTACCGATTGCAAGACTGCTCCTACCCTATTTGATCCTCAGACTCGTCTCACACCTCTTGACGGTCACCTGTTGTCTGATGCTACCTTATATCATCAGCTAGTTGGCAGTCTTGTTTATCTCACAGTTACTTGTCCAGACATTGTCTATGCTGTTCACATTGTCAGTCAGTTCATGGCTGCTCCTCGCTCTTCGCACTATGATGCTTTGGTTCGCATTTTGCGCTATCTGAAAGGAACTATGTTTCATGGTCTTCACTACTCAGCACACTCATCTCTACAGTTACAAGCATTTTTTGATGCAGATTGGGTAGGGGATGCTACTAATCGCCGTTCTACTACAGGATTTTGCTTCTTCTTGGGTGACTCTCTCATTGTCTGGCGTAGCAAGAAGTAAACTCTTATTGCTCATTCTAGTATTGAGGCTGAGTATCGTGCTCTTGCTAACACTACTCAGGAGTTTATGTGGCTTCGCTGGCTTCTTTCTGATATGGGGGTTTCTCATTCTATTGCGATTAACCTCTATTGTGATAATCAGAGTGCTATTCAGATTGCCAATAATGATGTCTTCCATGATCGCACAAAGCATATTGAGATTGATTGTCACTTCATACGACAGCATGTTACTAGTGGCACTGTTCGTCTTATCTTTGTTATCTCTGTCGATCAGATAGTTGACATCTTCACCAAGGCTCATCCTCCTAGTCATTTCATTGATCTAGTTTCCAAACTCAAGTTGGTTGATGCTTACCCACCTTAAGTTTGAAGGGGGCTATTAATGTATATTATATTATACTTTTTAATTTGTATCTCTACATCTATCTCCTTATATCTCTATCTTCTTCTATACTTATCTAGGTTTCTTTTCAACCTATATATACAGGTTTCTTCTATTGTATTCATTCATTCAATTCAATATAATACAGATACACAATTTTCCCTTTATTTCAACCATTAAAATTAAGTGTTATATAAATTAAAATTTTAAGAAATCAAAATATAATTATACCATTGCCAAACTTATAAAATAAATAAAATATGATACACAAATAATCAGTAGCAAAATGCTAATCACACCAAGTCATGTGATGTGGTGTTGTTTGGGAACTTCTGAAGTTCCAAAATCATTTTTTTTGTCTTCAGAGTTTTTTTTTTTTTCTTCCCTTTGAAAATTATGTTTATATTTTTTACTTTGTCTAAATAAATTTTAAAAATATATTATTTTTATTTTTTTTGAACATTTTATATTTTTAAATTACCATTCCTCATATATATTTTCTAGTATAATTTAAAGGCTTACTTTTTTTTGAAAAAAATAATTAACTATGGACGACAAATAAGCTAACAGGAAAGCCACCAAAGACCCACCCATGATCCCATCCCATGCCATTAAAATTGTTAATTTTATCAGTAATACTGTAACATTTATAATTTTTTTATCTCAATTTTTATAACATCAATATACAATTTATTTTAGCGGTGAGTTTATCTTATATTCACATCTTAATATGAGAAAATTTAAGAAGCCTATTGAGTTCATTACAGATTTCGTTTCGATAATTTAAACTATTTATTTTGTAAGACCCTCAATATAAATTAGAAAAATACTAATGACCCTAAGAAATTTACTAAAATTTCGATCAAATGTTTCATATGGTTGTGGACCACACGCATGTCTTACACCCATGTGAAACATTTGGTATAAATGGTAGTAAATTTCTTGTCTTTAGCATTGTTGTGTAAATTATTCATGAAAAAAATTAAATTAATTCGATAATCATAATATTTTTATTCTATCGCACTTATTTCTAAAAAAAATGAATGGTCTATTTTAAAAAATATACCCATAGTAAATTTTTTAAAAGGCAAATGTAATAAAATAAAAAATATTTCAAAATAAATTATTCGAATTATCTAAACAAAACTCATGATGAGTCTTACAAGTCGCTCAAATTATCATATCATATTAAAATATAAACATGAGATCAATCCAACCTTTTATTTTGCTAGTAATATTACAAATTCATATTTAACTACATATAAATTATTTAAAATTATTACCTTACTATTCAAATTTATTCTACACATAAATTACATTGTATAGATTCAATTTCAATCTCATAATTTTAATTCAGAATAATGTAAATGAGGTTGATAGCATTATTCTTATTTTGTATATAAACCGAGTGGTGATATTAGCACCCCATAAATTATTTTAGACCCTCCATTTCGTTGGAACCCCACTTATAAATTTTAAAACCCTTAAAATTTATTTTCTCTCCCCAAATAATACTAAAATTATCCTTAAATATTCCACCCAGTGAATACACATCCCCCACACCCCCACACCACCAAAAAGACCACACCCCCACATCACCAAAAAAACTTCCCTTCTAAAAAATCCTAACAAAACACACTAAGAAGAAGAAAAGTCTCATCATTTTCAAAATCCACGAAGAAAAAGAAGAAGAAGAAGAAGAAGAAGAAGAAGAATACTGCCTCTGCCGATTTAACCACCTTCCCGTCTAATATTTTTCATTATTCTCAAATCCAAACTCTTGATTTGAGCCGCAATAATCTTTCAATGGATGTTTTAATACAAAACTTGTTTATGATTGTCACCAACCTTACCTATCTTAACCTATCATAAAATCACTTCTCGAAGATTAAAATCTCTTATTCCCAATTCTTAAAACGGTTCAGTTCTTTGAGTTTTCTTTATTCGGGAGTCATCCCATATCACAAAAAGTTCAAAATCAATGCTCGGTTATCGGTTCCCAAACAAATAAACAATGTTTGAGCTTGTGTTCCCGAATTTCAGTCATATGTTCGGGAGTTCAGCCCCCGAAAAAATAACAAATATATTTTATTATTTTTTGTCATTTTTTTTTCAAGAAACTTACTATTATAAGGTCAATGTCCTCTGCGCTAAAAATAACATCAAAGTTATGAATCTCCTTTAAGCTTTTATTGTTGTACTCCTCTCGTTTTATAGAGTTTTCGTTGCCAGAAAAAATTTTACTCATTGTCATAGCCGAAAAAGTGTAAGTAATTAAATAATTGCCACCGTTATCGTCAGAATATTTCCGCTAAAGGATTTTTAAGGTTTTGAGGGTGAATAGATTTTGAAGGTGGAATTTAGAAAAGATGGATGGGTGGTAATGGAGGTGAGTACTCTCATAAATCTTAATTCATAATATAATGGGTGTATAGATTTAATTATAAGATAGGTATCTCAAAATTAATAATGTCTTTTATAGTAATTTTATTTAAAATTATTATAATAATAAAAAAAACTAAAAATTAAAAATAAAAATGCTTCCTACCGGGTGCAATAGCAGCACTCCCTTTAAATACAGAGCAAATAAACTAAAAAGACAAATGTGCCCTCTTTTATTTACTTTTTGAAATGTCACTGGGGTCGACTCCCACTGAGTGTATATATCAGCGTTGAAATTAAAAAATCTAAAATAATTTATGAAGGGCATATACAGCACTCATATAAATAATTTATGAAGGGCATATACAGCACTCATATAAACCCTACAAAATTCTCAGTACAACTCAATTGTGAGAGTGGATGTGGGACCACAACTTTGTAAATTTTGTAACCGTAGCAGCATCAGTGTAATCCAATACCAGAGCAAAACAAACAAGGTACTCTCAGCAAAAGCCAGCCCTCTCTGATCACAATAATCTTCCCTTTGTATCGCCTCAAATGCGCCTTCTTGCTTTACATGCATTTGTATCACTACTTTTTAACCGCTATAAATGCACTCTATGTTTTCTATATAGATTATCTTCGATTACCGATCACAGGGGAAAAAAGTTGATCCATATCATTCGATCGTAATCTAAGGTGAGTTATTACAATGTTCCATTGTTTCATTGTTCAATCTCTACAATGTTCCATTGTTTCATTGTTCAATCTCTCTCTCTCTTTTGTTTGAGGCATTTTTCAATCAAATCGTTCGAAAACCCTGTATGTATATGTATATGTATATGTATATGTGTGTGTATGTATTAGAAGAAGTAGTGGAGAGCCTCTCAATTCTCGAGCCTTTTCTCCTTCTATCCCCAATGGTGGATTATGAATTTTTGATCACGGTTCTAAATTTTTTGGGTTTTGTTTAGTGGACTTGAAAGATTAGAATTTACTACATTATTGGATTCGCTGAAAGATCAGTCAATTACTAATTTTGGATTATTTATTTATTTATTGATATTTAGCTTCATCATAATGTAACATAGATTTTTACGTGCATGAAGTTGGGGAAATTAAAACCATGAAACGAATTTATTTTGAAATCGCGGGATTGGCGCGGCGATTGTTTTTGCCTAGAAGGAGTGAATAGCCCGAACTCAAAATTCTTATGAACCAATTTTAATTTACCTGTGATGTTTTAGTTCAAATTCAATGTTCAATAGTGATCAAGAGATGCAATCCACGGAAAATATAAAGAACAAGCGTGCTTACAATTTTACGCGGAAACCTAAAGGAGAACATTTCCTGAGGATAAAAAACAAGATCCCAACAATCCAAAAATTTGTTGAAGGACTTTAGACGCTAGGAATTACTATTTACTACCCTTATCCGATATACCTAACTCTAAAAACCTTCATCAACATTCCACGAGCTTGATCTCGACTTGGCGGATTTCTATAAAATTGAGGATCCATGTCATCAAGGAATTTTTAATACCATATCATTTTGTAATCAACTATTTAGAGCTGCATTAAATTGGCTCTTTTTTTGTATGTGTCAAATGTTCCCCATTGTCAAGTGGAGCAAACAAGGATTTATTTCATCATTAGTACGACAATTTTAAATTGTTAAATAATGCAATTTATCCTCTGCTAAGGATATCAAATTGTAGATGGGAAAGAAACAAAAAAATGTTTTGTCCTCATTTATTTAGGATCAAATGAGGAAAAAATGTGATAAACATAGTATGAATCCTAATATAATTGGAGGGTGGGATAATAGAATTCTAGCATGAAGATTGATGTAGTTCAAGTAGCTAACAATTGGTCAATCTACAATCAAACTAACATAACAGTAATAAAATCTCCTTGCACTATACAAAAGACTAGTATTTGCTAGATTTCATGTGTTGATTGGAAGGATATCTAGAGAATCCTCAAAGTGGGTTGTGGTGAAATTAATTGACACTTCTTAAGGGTGAATATATTAATCTGTCCAAGCTTTATGTTTGATTGCATGTTGAATTTCATCATCCAACAACAGCAAAAAATGTACAGTTTCCTTTTTTTGTGCACTCTTAGAATGTAAATAATTATTAGAATTAAATAGTAATACCGGATTGACATGCATGCTTAATTGCTAAGCACTCGATGTTATTTGACCTCTAAGGAATTAAGATAGAGACACTCCAAAAAAGGTGTGTCTATAATTTTGCACCACAGTTTCCTTTTTTTGTGCACTCTTAGAATGTAAATAATTATTACAATTAAATAGATATATTGGATTGACATGCATGCTTAATTGCTAACCGCTCAATGTTATTTGACCTCTAATTAATTAAGATAGAGACACTCCAAAAAAGGTGTGTCTATAGTTTTGTACCAATTAAGATCTTTTAACTTTCCGATACTTATATAATCTAGTTGACTTCTAGGCTTTAATACGCAGGCTTTGACTTTTTTTAAGATGGTAAATATTTCATTGAGACTGCTGAAAAGTCTTTAATCTGTGTACACCAGGGGTATAGAAAAAGACTAGGACTCAGCTATACAACATCTACATAAGATAGATTCCTATGAAGTCAATAAAAGTGAAAGATGATTCTCAATTTTTTCCTTCAATCCAAAAATGGAAGCTATGTAAATGAGCTAATTCGAGTCCCAAATCAACTTCCTCGAATGTTCTTCTATTTCTTTCCCTTTGAATAGTCCGCAAGAAGCCACTTTCCGTGTATTTTGAATCTTCTTGGAGTGACATCCAACCCAGCTTTCATAAAAGTGAACGACTGTATCTGGTATCACCCAACAAACTTTGAAAATAGAAAAGAGAAAACTCCAAAGTACTGTACCACCTCACAATGCCAAAAAATAAAATAAAAATAAAATAAAAATAATTCACGGACTCGTTGTCCTTCTTGAAGATACAACATCTATTAGGAAACATCTTCCTTCCCTTTTCCAAATTATCAATAGTCAATATAGAATCTAATGGAGCAGTCCATACAAAAACGGTCACCTTCATGGGGACCCTCATAACCAGAATGTTACTCCGTAGAAAATTAGCTTAAGAATTTCTTGGAAGAAGGTTATAAAATGATTTGACTGAAAATCTCCCCTTATCACATGAAGTTTTGTCAATTTTGTAAATTAATGGATTTTGTGTTTCCATACATTTGAAGGCAGTTGTTTGATGATGTGAAACAAAACATAAACATGCCAAACATTATTATTGTGATAATTGTAGTTGAGTCATTCTACTTGGTTTGGTTTAGGTTTATTTTTTTGAGATCGATGCGTGTGGCAGTGCAATGCATTTGTGCTATTTTTTTTCTTCAGAATATCCCTAAATTGATTTGAGTTTCCAAAAGTTTCGGTTTTTATTTTATTTTACTGGGGTTATGTGTTAATGCATATTTTTATGTTTCCATGATGCATAATCAAGCTCTAATTCATTTATATGCATAAAGATCACTACAATTTTTTTGCCCAGAATGAATTAAAAGGAAGAAAATCAGGATTGAGCCTATGTTATTATCAGGTTGTCCTTTTCCTTTATAACCTCAACTTAATTTGATGGTTTAGTTATCTCCCAAATATTTCTGTATTTAATTAATTTTTGATTTAATGAATTTCTGAATGTGGAAAGCATGGCTTGGCTTGACTTTCTTCAAAAATTGAATTGTGTCTCATTTTTGTGAAAAATCCATGAGAAGAAAGTTTTCTGTGGATTTTTAGATTAGCTGGTTAATCTTTTCACTCTTGCGCGGATAGCTTGAAGTATAATACTGCAGTTTGATGTTAGTGTTGAAAAGAAGCTGTATGTGGTGTCATTCTTTAACTAAACCATGTTATGTGTTTTTTCTAATAACTGAGAATCTTCTGGTCATTATTGGAAAGGTATTTTGACTAATGTTGGGTGGAGCAGGCACCAAATTTGAATTAAAGATCATAGACATCGCAAATGATTACACACGAGCAAGATCCTGATGTTGTCCGGTGGGGTCTTCAGCTTTTTGATGGTGATCCATATTCAAACTATGGGTATGGTGGCAATGTCACACAAAACAATGCAGATTACTCTCACGATCCAGATTTCAAAGAACAATATGGTATTGGCTGTAGCAATGTAGAGAATGTCGAGTTAATCGCATGTGCCCTTCAAGAAGAACTATCACAACTGTCTGTTGCAGAGGCACCTGGATCCTCTCATGAAGGCTTAGAGCATTTGCAAGCTTCTGGTTACTCACAAGATTGGCTTGGTCAGCCTATGGAAAACTATAGTTATGGTATTGGCAAAACTTAATGCCAGTTTTATTTTCTGATTCGATCAAAAAAAGTTTTATTTTCTGATTGGTTTGGTGATTTAATTTTCTTGCTTGAGTCTATTCTTCTGATTTATATCATTGCTTATAGGACATCATGATGGCCACGAAAAGGTAGATGATATGGGACCTTCTAGTTCAGGTTCTAGCCCAGGAGTAAACTCAAATGATGGGGAAGAATGGTCATATTTACTAGAGGTCACTGACGAGTATGCTCTTGATGGTGAAATGGGCAAAAGGTTGAATCAGATGGTTCCTATTCCCGTAAGTATGGCATATGTGGAGCACCATTTATGACTTCATTCAGTGATGTGTGATGCATATTATTTTTCAATCATCAGATTCTTTTAGCCTGTTTACCTTTTGAATATCTCCTACTCTTTTTTTTTTTTACTTTTTTTTTTTATAGGTTAGTTAGGAAGACTTGAACTTGAGTCTCTTTTTGGAAAGTCCCCTAGGGGACTTTTGAAGGCTTCCTACTCTTGTTTTTCATACACTGTACTTATTTTGACACTTAAGAGTCAGCATTTCATATTACAGTGGAAAGTTAATCAATGTTGCTCCTTTTTAGAATGTTAAATTTCTTGCTTTCTGTATTTAACACCTGAGGTAGAGCCTCCTGCATAATCTGAATTTACAGTTTTTCTAGGTGCGGCATGGAGGGTAGACCTGTGTGATGGTTGACTGAGGTTTATCATTATATATGCTCACTTCTACCCTTTTTGAAGGTGTTAAGAGTCAATACTGCCTCAATAACAATAATATTCACTCATGTTATGTGTTTTGATTTTGTTTTCTGATTTCATTGGAAAAATATGTTTGGCAAATTGTTTCCGAGAAACTTTTCAATAACAACCCACTTTTGTTTCTGAACATACGGAAATGAAAACAAAAATAAAAATGTCAATTTTTTGTATTTTCCATTTAAAAAAAATGAAAAACAAAAAACAAAAACACAACCAAACAGAGTGATTTAGGGCTCATTTAGCAACATGATAAATAAGCAGCTTATTGGTTTATTTGGGTCACATCACTTCTCTACTTTTTTGCATGTCTTTTCATAATAAGCAAAAAAGCTAGCTTATAAGCCATACGCAAAACAACCCTTAGTTTTTCATATATTTTCTATGAAATTAAATGTGACATTTGTCTCTACCATTGTTTCGTGTGTTTCTGGTTATGTAGGAGGTTGCAGTTTGGGAGTATCCAAACTTTTTATTGCATAGAAGAAAGAAAAGTTGGTATTGCTTAATTCTTAAGTTAATTCAGGCATGCGTGCCAATCTGTACTATCATAAATTATAGATGATCACATAATGATTAAAAATCTAGGATTCTGCATTAAAATTACAACTAGCATGCTTCATATTTTAATTATAATGTTAGGATAAGATTTGTACTGGGAATGTTCTTTATTAGGAAAAATTTTCAGCCTCTTTACTTATCTATTGTCCCTGCAACTTACGCTTGCAATCACTGTATAGCAAAGAGATGTGCACCTAATGCGATGAGATGGTTTATGGTGATTCTCTACTAATTTGTCTTATGTGCTTCTATCTGCTTTGGTTTCTTGACTTTGGGATCCCAAACCCGAAGTTGGATTTTCTATAAACTCCTTTATATGTCACTGAATTTGCGCAGCATGTCCCTAGAACTAATGGAGAAATACCTTCTGTTGATAAAGCAACTTTAGACCATCAACGACTATTGGACAGGTACTGTGCATTTGTCTTGGGAAAGGGATATATGCAAATTCATGTCTTTAGCCTTTTGTGGTTGTGGGTTGCTCTGAATTCTTATATTCCCCCCCAATTCAGTTTTTGATGCTGGAAATATCTGTTCTTTAACAGGTTGCAGTTATATCAGTTGGTAGAGTTTAAGGTTAAAGGAGATGGAAATTGTCAGGTTAGTTGCTTATTACACACTGCACCTGCTCTAATGTGCCTCAGGTTCCATTTGTTTGTGATGCCTTCTGCATGCGATTACAGAAGCCTATCTTTTGATTAGCAGTTACCGCAAAAGTGGATTTCTTGAGCCACACGTAATTTTTTAAAGATGATTTGGTTTTCCCTTTAGTTTCTTTCCTTCCCCCCCTTCTTTCCATGAGACAAGCATACTATCAGTTAAGCTAAGCTATAGCTGTCAGTTATTTTTTTGCTTTCCTTTGTGCAAGTCTCTCACTTCGAAATAAGACTCAGATGTTGATTTCTACATCATTTCTTTTCTTTGCTTCTACGTTTTATAAATAATCCACCCAGTTCTCTCTTTGTTTCTCTCTCTCCTGCTTTTATACAGAAAACCTCCATTTTCCTCTGATACCCTTTTCTTTCCCTGAACCTGGAGGCAGTTTTCTTAATTTTTATTTTTGTTTTCCTGCCCAACTGAAATTTGGGAAAATGTTTTAAAGTTAAAAGATATTCATTTGAAAGAAATTCAAACAGCTGTTACCCATAATAGCATGAGTTAATAATAAGCAATAAGGTATTTACACTGCCTTTTGGCTTTGAGGTGGTTTTTGCTCTCTTTTTGGTTTATAAATGACTTAATTTTCAAGTTGCTTCAGTTATCAGAAAAAGAAATTGGAGCATTTTGTTTTCATTCTTTCAATACTTTTGCTATTTTATTCTTTGTTATATTTATTTTGGATGCTTTTCTGGCCTCTCCATTCTTTATTTTATTTCGTATTCACAGTCACATTAAAGTTGATAATGATGGACTATATAATTGAATTTAGTTAATTTTGAATATTGTACTTTCAGAAGATATTGGTTGTGTTTACATGGCGTATGGTTTTTGGTTTACTCCTACTGATTTGATATGTTAACTGTGGTGCTTAACATTGGAAAACTGCTTGACTATCATTGAGTGTGGTGCTTAACATTGACAACTTATTTTATTTCTCACTATTATCATTTTTTTCCCAGTTCCGTTCTCTATCAGATCAGTTTTATCGCACTCCTGTGCACCACAAATTTGTGAGACAACAAATTGTAAATCAGGTTGGTAATTAGTCATTCATTATAGCAGTATTAGCATATCAGTTTGCGGTTATAATTTAGAATACTCAACGCAATTATTGTGTTCTTCACCTGTACCGTGTTGTCACTTGTGTTGCAATTTTTTTTGTTTGTCAGCTTAATTCTTGCCGAGATATTTATGAGGGATATGTCCCCATGGCTTATAGTGACTATTTGAAGAAGATATCAAGGTACTTTTTACTCCGTTTCATTGATTTGATCATTTACTTTTTGCTGGGTATCAATTGACAATTCTTTTGTGATCATGTGACCGAAATTAGGGGTGGTGAATGGGGTGATCATGTCACTTTGCAGGCTGCTGCAGATTTGGTATGGTTCCGCAACTTTATCTTCTGTGTTCTTTTAATTATTTATACAGATTTGTTGGTATTTTTATGTAGTCTTTACAACTATAGCAAGGTCTCAAACTCAGGTGGTCTAATGTTTTCAGTGGCATGTTAAATGTTTTATGCGTTTTATATATATTGTATTCATAAGTGAAAGGTGAGTTTTAGGTTTCAACCTCTAAAAATTTCAGCAATAAATAAAAGATAAAATCTGAAGTAGGACAGAATGTTTGCAATTAATAGTGTGGATTTGAATAGTGTTTACACTAATATGCTACCTAGTTGTGTACAAAATCTACGCAAACCCATATCATCATGTTCTGGCATGTTTGTGATTTGTTGCAGTATGGTGTGAAGATATTTGTCATAACATCATTTGAGGACACCTGCTACATTGAGATTCTTCCAAATGTACAAAAATCAAAACGAGGTACCATTTTCTGAGTTCTGTTTCTTAATGTTCAAAGTTGTTTCAATTTGAGAATTCAATGGGGTGCCTAATATCTTTTGCTTGGTTTAACCATTGTCTGTTGTTTATATTGCAAGTAAGTTAAGTGATACCATTGTTATCCCTTTTTTTAAGGCATTGATAATAATAGTTTATATCATGCTATGTCTAATGTGATGTCTGTGGGATTGTAAAAAATGTGAAAGCAAGTTTGATTGTATGTGCATGGCTTCTTTTTTTTTTTTTTTGATGGTGCAAAAGTATGCAAAAAATTTGGTGGACATGGCTCTGAATTCTTATATTGGCTTTGGTTTAGAATGTTTGCTATGAATAAAATTATAAATGAAGAACGCATGCAGGCCTTGCTTTTTGATGAGTGAATTTCATTAGTGAGTGCCAAAGGGAGTGCTGCCCATACACATCAGTTCTAAAAGGGAGATTCTTAGCCCAAAACTAAGGCACATGGCTGTTAAACTATCTACAAAGATGTCTCCTAAAAAGTTAATGGATGGGTAGAGGAAAGAATTAGTAACTCTAAGTTCACCTTCTCTTTAAAACGAGGGCAATAAAAATAAGAAAATAGAAGTAATGAAAGGGAGAACAAATAATATTGTTCCTGATTGCCTTCTTTTCCAATTATATCGTTATTACAGAAATCTGAAGCCACAGTTACACACTATAATCAATATTGCCTCTATAAACAGTCCAATCAACTAAGATTCTTTTTATTTCTTCAAAAATAACTGGTTTCCTAAATGAGCAAATTTTCTTTTATTCCTTTTAATGTACCAATGTTGTAAACTTGTCAGGAACCATTTTTATTTCTACTCTATCCTTTCCCATAATACTCCCATCTACTCATACTGATTAAAATCACATGCTGCTCAAGAATCCCTGTATCTACTCCAAATTTGAAGGTTGTTTCATTCTTGACTAACCATGCAATTATGTGAAGGTTATTGTAGTTTAGAAGCCTGTAGAAATTAGAGTTTCCATGGCTTGGTTTGATTTACACTATATTTGGTGGCTCTGTATTGCTTGGAGACTAGTCCTTCTTGACCTCGATCATGGATTTATTTGCTGGCCTTTTTCTAGACAATTTGTATCCGTGTACGTGCGCACATGTGGATTTATTTGCTGGCCTCTGTCTCTGTCTCTCTCTGTCTCTCTTTCTCTAGGATGTAGTCATTTTAAAGAGCCTTTTGTTCTTTCTACTTTTGGTTAAGATGACAACAGTAATGTTTTGTCTTTTAATTGCAAACAATGTATTGGGATCTCTTACTTTTAATGTTTTGCGAGTTTTAGTTGCTTCCCTTAATCTCAGAGGTTCGCAAAAGGAAAATGGTAGGTCTATTATTTAATTTTTCAGTTTTTATTAAACAAGGGATTCTTAATAAACACATGTATACATACACATATATATATACTAGCGCTGTGTGCACACCTGATAGGTGTGCTGTTAAAACTGCAAGAAGTTACATTTTTATTTGAATTTGATCGGGGTAGTTACATGAGGCATGAAGTTATAGACAGTTACATTAGGGTATTTTGGGAAAACAAAAAAATGTGATAGTGTCTACTCCAACTTAGGTGTAGGCTTTTGTTAAAAAATCATGTATTATTGATTTATATTGATTTATTGTGTATATTACAATTACAAGGATTCCTATTATATAGGAGTGTGTTTGGGAGTAGGTGGAGAGGTGGAGTAGGTGAAGTGGAGGTGGTAGTGGTGTAGTGGGTTAGGTTTAGTGGAGTAGGTGAGGTGGTAGTGGTGGTAGGTAGTGAAAATTTTAACAGCTTTATATAATACTATAGATATATATGTATAGATATATTATATATATGATATGTTCTATTGTTATATTGCGGATATTGTTTTTTGCAGTTATTTTCTTGAGCTTTTGGGCAGAAGTGCACTACAACTCAATATATCCGGAAGGAGGTAAACATCCAAATCTTTCATATTCTAACATTGTTCATTCCATATGCTTATGCTCGTATAGAAGGGGACAAAATTGACTGTAATTTAACTTCCTGCTACATGGTGTTTGTTTCCAAATAACTAACATGATAACATGTTAGGAACAAACTCAAGTGTATCTTTTGGATTATTTAGGATAATATGTTTGCAATGAAGAGTGAAGAAAAGGGTAAAAGAATGTAGATGGAAACCTAGATGAAGAAGACATGAATGGTATTAGAGAAGGAATGAGATGATTAATTGTTTTTCTGAAACTCCTATTGTAAGCAACCCACTAGATTTAGTAAGAAGTCATTTGGCTTTATAAGGGGAATGAATGTGCAGCTGTTACAAATATGCGAACACTTAAGAAAGCACAGTGAATTTCATTACTACTAGTGAACTACACTAAATTTTATATTCTTATTTAAATACTGTGTTCCTTATAATAGAAAGAAGTTGATGTACTTTGCCGCCCCTTCTTGGGCTTGGATAGAGTAACTCAGCAAATAAGAAAAGTAGCAAGGGGTGGAAATCTTGTAAAAGTAAAATCGAAAACAATGTTGGAACGGTATAAATTTTGGATAACCATTGAACATCTAAATTGGAATTTGTCTGCTAATTAATATAATAGTAAAAGATGCTAAAATTGTGCATCATGCCTCAAGAGGACTTGCTAAAATTGCCTTATCAAATCAGCAATGATGAAGACTTCTCTATTCTCAAAGTAATTTCGATGTGCTAATTTAGAGTTGGGAAATTATTATAGAACTATTATGTGCTGAATATTCAATTTCCTTGACCCCTTCAGATTCTTGTTAAACCACATTATGTAATTACCATTGGCACTGAGATTATTATTTTGTGGATTCGGAATATAATTCTGCTCTTATACGTTTCGGTCATACTCCAGAGGTGCCTGCAATTGAGACCAAGAAGAAGAAAAGGCGGCGGGCTTTTCGACTTAAATATTTGGAATAATCACCAGATGAATAAAATTGACAGCTCAGTAAGGTTCATTTGTGTCTCTAACCTTGTTTATCATGTTTCTTTGCAAATAAGTTTCAACTATCTTATTACTATGTTTTCAGTTTTTTTTTTTTCTTTCCTCATAGCAGATTACAAGGACAGATGCTATAGTGGGCACAATTTTCACTTGCTTTTCTCAGAAATGTTCTGCCAAAATAATTGTTCCTAGCTTGACATTTACTTCTTTTCCTGCAGAAATCCACTTGTTGGAATATTGATGTTTACAAAAATAGTTGATTTCACCGTACTTTTTCCAATATGGATGTTTTTAGATCTCCTTGAGATGATAAAATTGAAGATTTTGAACATCTAGGTTGTGTTTGGATTTGTTACTTATTTTCTGTTATATGACTGGGATAGGAAAATGATAAGAAAATGAATATATATATATATATATATTTGTAGGGACACAAACCACATTGAAGAGGATGAATTCTATACATTGAAATATACTGACCCCATTGAAGATGATGAATTCTATACACTGAAATATACTACGTTAATTGTGCAAGGACTGATTCAAATTCATGGGGACACAAACCCTAGAGACGGAACTTAGGCTGCACTCTTTTCTAGTTCTGCATTATCATTATGTTACTTGAGATGTTGGGGAAAGAGATTTAGTGATACTTTTGGGTATAGAGTTCGTGTACTTGGCTCCAGGCTCGATCATATTTTGTGTATTGTTCATATATTTTTAGTGTGAATAAATTTATTTTCATTTAACTCTGTCAATTACAAGTTTTGGACAAAGCCTGGTACTCTTCCAACCAGGGGGGCAGAGTTTCCTAGAGAAACCCAACAACCATTTTCTAAGGAGGTGGAGGTGGGAATCCTCCGTCTCAGATTTCTCATGTATTTCTTTTGAAAATACTTTTTTCCACAATGAGGCCTCATTTGGCAAGTAAATATTTTAACTTAAAAATCAAAAAGTTACTAAAAAAAAAATTAAAAAGCCAACAAATTATATTAAAAAGTCAAAATTTTCTTTTTCTCTCTACTTTTTGCATATCTTTTCGTAAAAAACAAAAAAGTTATTCCAAACATATTAATTTTTTTTGCTTTATATTTTAGTCAAAAAATTAAAAAGTTGCTAAAATAGTTTATTCCCAAACGAGATCTGAGTCTCTCTGGTATGTTCACCTTGAGATAAGTGACACAATAGCATTGGATAGAAAATTTCTTAAGTATTCAAATATTTTATTTGATAAAATTAAAAATTAAACTAAATGCTAAATTTTTTATGTAGAAAATTGTTTAGTTCATTTATTTAAATTTAAGTGTTGCATATAATCATTGATATGTGCAATAATTTTACTCTTTATATTGTGGCGGTGGGGGTTTAGTAGCTATGTGATGGTGTTTGTGGAGTGGGGATGGTGGCGACAGGCAGGGGTGGAGGGAGGGGGGTCGGAGGTTCTTGCTGCTTCAAAATTTTGTTAAATTTCACTATTATGTGAGCATATTGAAATAAATAAATAAAATAAAAATAAAAAATGGAAGAAGAAGAAGAAGAAGAAGAAGAAAGTGTACTCCATACCATGGCCCCTCAAACTCAGGAGTTTTTATTATTATTATTATTATTATTATTATAAATATTCTAAAAAATCAAACTATTTATAGAAGTAATTCACTTTTCAAACTATTTATCAAACTAATTTATTTTTTTAAAAATGCAAGTTCAAAATGCGAGTTCATGAAATTGTTTGTTCAAAATACGATTTTATCGTCGCATCTTGAAGATATAATTTCATATTGACTTGACTTATTAATATACAGATATGGGCCATGTCAATATAAAATTGCATGTTCAATATGTAATTTCACGATGAAACCATATTTTGAACTTGCGATTTTAAAAAGTTGGTTTGTTTGATAAATAATTTGAAAAGTTAGTTATTTACATAAATAGTTTAATTTTTTGGAACATTTACAATTAAAAAACTCCTCAAACTCAATTTGGCATCCAAAAATATATATATAATCTCAATTTTGTATAAAGATTTTCTTTCAAAGTGTTTCATGTAATGACCTGTTAAAATTTTAATTTGAGAATATAGTTTATTTGATTAATGTGAGATCATATTAATAAAAACAAAAATAAAAACTTTTACTCAAATTAGTTTCTTATGTGATTCTTGAGGGATTCTATTTGTACTCAAAATATATTTCAGTATGCCTAATTTAAATTCATAAATTTTATTATATTATATTCTAATTTGAATTTACTAATAAGGTAAAAAATATATTAAACACTAAAATAAAAAATATATTTTTTCTCATGGTACACCTTAATTAATTATTCCTATTTAAATCTCTGTATCTTCTTCTCCAAAAGATCAAAATTATTTTTTTTTCTTCTTCTTCTTCCTCCCTCCGAAACTCCAATCCACCATACTAAAACTCATCATTATATGCACATACACTTAAAAAGTATAATATTTGTAAGAAAAATATAGAAAAAAATTCAATAAAAGAAATAAGCCAAGCAAAGTATCAGAACGTTTCTCATTAAGTATTTTGTCAAACACATAGTAATCAACAAATTGGAATAGCAAAATAGCAAGAGAAGAAAGAGATACAAAAAAGCAGAGACAAGGCAATATGCTATGCAAAGTATACAACGGTCATTTTAGCAATGTTCAAAGCAATTTTATTTTTTTAAGTTTTGATTTATAGAATCAAACTGTATTTTGCTTCATGATTAGATGAGAATTTTGAGATATAAACAAAATTGAGTCATTTTTTTTATCGGGTGCATTTGCGATTCAAATTAGGTTTTCCATCAACATATAAGTCATTATTTATCTCAGAAAGAAAATTAAACAACAGAGAAGAGAGAAAGGAAAATCCTAAACGTACGATGTCGTCAAGCTGGAGACAAAGGGGATCGAAAGATCGACTGGAATGAAGGACAAGAAGCTTGTCGATGATGGCTCTAATTATGGAGTTTGCCTTTAGTTTTTTTTTAAATTTATTTATTATTTATTATTTAGATTTACCTTGAGGGTAATTTGGAAAAAATACTAGGGTGCAGTGAGAGTTATATAAAACTTTAAATAATTAAACAGGGTGTACTTAGAAATTAGAAGTACTTAATGAGTTTTTGGGTGTAAATAGAATCCTTTGTGATTCTTACAATTTTTTGAGAGGCTCTTCTCCAGTTGGGAAGGGTGCTATTGGGCCTTTGTGGGCCTATTACAAAGTCCGCTTTGATGATCTGAATCGTTTAATATGTAAGATTCTTCGATTATTTCATTATTGTAAAAAATCACGTTAATCAGATATCGATAACTACTTGATCAAATTAAATTTATATAAATAATTTATTTTAAAAATCGTATTTATCATTGACACAAATGTGATCTGATCAAGTAGTTATCCATATCTAATCAATATGATTTTTTACAAAGATGAAACACTCGACAATTCCTACACATTGAAATATTTGAATTATCGATGCGGGTTCCGTGGGGGCCACCGAGGCCCAACAGCACCCTCTAATTCTATTTGAACTAGAGAGAAGTCGTGGCCAATTTTTTAATTGGACTACTTATGAACTTTTACTGAATGTTTTAAAAAATTCAAACTATTACATAGGCATGTTTAGTGCAGTTTTTTATTACGACCCCGCTACGTAGCTCGAATCCGTGGCTCGAATCTGTGGCTCGACACCAAAACGAGCTTTCTCTCTGTCTCTGTCTTCGAATTCGAGCCATTTTTCGAGCCACAGATTCAAGCTACCAATCTTTTTCCTTTTTATTAATTGAAATTTGATAATAAAAAAATGAAATTTTTTTTTGAAAAGATATACCTTCTTCAACTTACCAATAATAAGTTTTTTTATGATATAAAAAATAAAAATATAAACAACATCAAGAAGTTGCACCAAATAGTACTCTAGACTTATGAGAAGTTAGTAACATAACATGTATAAATTTAGACTAGTCTTGTTTAATTTGTTTTATTGAGTCATTGAGTTATATTTGATTAATTATCTAATATATTTAAACTTAGTTGAGCCAACCATTCGCTTGTATGAATCTGTTCTTCTTTTGGCCCCTCAAGAATGACATACGCATAAAGCGAGTATGTAATCTAAAATTTTATACTGTTTTCAAATAGTGGAGGGACAAGGCGGAGTTAGAAAATTAAGTTAGAGGGGATACTTATTAAGTATAATTTTTTATTTAAAAAAAAAATCATGATCAATATTAAGGTAATAATAATTTTATGAGATAGATTTAAGCATAAGAAATTAAAAATCATTATTAATAGGAACAAATCCAAATTTTATAATAGTCTGTAATAGCTCGGTGTGGGATGGTTATTTTAGCACAAAAAATTATGAATTAAAATTTCTAATTTTAGAAAATAAAAACACATCATTTATGACACAAATTATTATAAAATCTATTTAATTTTTATTTGACAAAATATTAAAGAGATTATATTGCATATAAATTATTTATTTTGAATGAAAATTATTAAATAGTCTTAGAATATCATATGGCGTTGCCTATGTGATGCTCAAAGCATGAGAAATCACAAATTGCACTGAGTAATTTGTCAACTATTTGAAAATAATGAGTTAATTATATTCAATCTATATGATTTCTCAATACACTATTAATTTAGACTACTACATAAATAATACCACATAGTGCTCCCAAAGTATCAAATAATTACTTATTGTGAACAATACAATAAATCCTTAACCAAAGAACGTGTTAAGAAAAAAAAGGGTACATTTTGTATATAACCACAAAATAAAAACAAAAAAGTTCAAAATTGAAAGGGGACATGTGACTCCCCAGGGCATTCTTTGACTCCGCCCATGGTGACAACTGTAACAACCCTATCGCATAATACTTTATATTTAATTAATGGTGGAGATTTATACGATTTTATGGGAGATTTATTTTGGAATTAGAACTTGAAAACCTAAGTGGTTCAAGAAAGAATAATTAATGAGTTGCCTTCTTTTAATTTCGAGTATCGGCTTATATGGGGGTTTAATTAAATGTTCGATTCAGATTTGTAAAATTGAGATTTGATTAATTGGGTCTGAATTGGAGTTAATTACGTTATGAGGAGTGAGAATTAAGGTTATTGTGGATTAATTTATTTATGAGGTATTTAATCTGAGTATATAATTTATTACCGGAGACCTTGAGCTGACCTGAAATTAAGGGCCTTACTGATGTGAGAAATCACAATTGATGATGAGAATAAGCTTAATTTGATATTTAAAGCTTTTTGGGAGTTTGATTAAAAATCTAATTCGGATGTATATATTTAAATATAA